CTAGTGATGTAGGCTACCACAGCACTTTGTGTGACAAGCATGACTTTACAATTTGATATGAGGATATTTCAAACATTCATTTGGAGTCTTAGAGTCCCACTTCACCTGTGAATATATTGTATTATCCGTGTATATTTACAGTGTAAAATATGTTACATTGTACGCTTTTAGAGAAGCATTTTGCACTGTGTAAGTTCTACCACTTTACCGTAGCCAAAGTGACGTTACTTCCTGTGTGGTCCGTCCTAAATGGTGATTGCATCATCAGTACTTTGCTCATCCTCAGACAACAATAAAAGATATGGATATATTGTTGTGTATTTTTGGCTTTCATCTTATTATTTGTGTATTTTTTTTCCTATAGACAAACTGCAGTACTATCCTAGAAAACATTATTATTTTGACATGCAGATAACTCTGTGGTGGAAGTAGTAGGTGGATGCAGTATTGTCACTAGGTGGCACTGTAGCAAGCAGATTGGTCCACAGAATACTGACTGTGGATACTTATACTAAGAAAGAAATATATTTTAAAACAATGTGGAATCACTCATTTAGAGTATTATCTGCTCTCCAGTGGAAGGAATTCAGTTTAAAATATTATAAAGTTAGTAAGAAAAATAAATAAGTCTAGAAAAGGCTTTCTTTTCTTACAGTCCAGAAACTTTACAGTGAAGGAGGAGACATTTTGTGTCCAACAGGAAAACTTTATTCAGGAAACTATTATTATTAAACTATGTATTCAAACAGAATTTGAATATTGAAAAATTCTGAATTTATAATGAGGAAGATGGAGTTATGTCTTTTTTAAGGATTTTAATGTGGTAATGAAACTTGTGTTTGTGGGAAAAACATATTAGACACACATTATTTTTCCAAGCATGTATTTATATATGTCTGGAGGGGATCTTTGACACATTCATTTTAACTTTACCTTGTCAAAAACTACCTTTAGTACATACAGTAGGCATACTGTACTATATTTTATAGGGTTTTATTGATCTTGGCTGCCGTATCTGGTCAGGTAACCATTTATACTGTACGTCAGTATGTCCAAACCAACTCTAAACGAGGAAAAGAAGTGTCCTTTCATAAGAATGTTGTTTAGAAAGTAATAATCTTGAACACACTTTTGAAAAATGAGGGCATTTACACAGGCAGGAGTTAGCCAAGTCTTTTTCTGGAGGAAATGTTTTTCCTATTGTAAGTAGCTCTGCACCATCTTGACTTTGGCGTGCCTCCAGCTATAGATTGTCCCTAAACTATCTGGATGAAAGCCTGGGCCAATTACAGTGTGAACACCTCGGGCCAGTCGTAGGCTGAATGCCCGCATTTCTGTTGGTAATATTATTCAAGCAGTGCCGAGGTCAGCACCAGTCAGCACTCTCTTTTCTCCCTCTCTCCCATTCTCCCTCAGACTATGAGAAACACACATTATTTAACACACACTTCAGCAAGTGTCATAATTTAGTGATCAGCAGAGGGAAAAAACCCACTAAAACAGACACTTATTTATTTTTTATTATTTTTTTTACTGGTTTCCCTTGTACTTAGAAATTGCTTCTTCTTTTTTTCACATGACTGTCAGTTGATTGAATACTCATGTGTGCAGCACACTGCTGGTCAGGCGGGCTCCATTATCCTCTTCCCAGTTTGTTTGTTTGAAAGAGGCTCCACACAGATGGACCTCCGCAGGCTCATTGTGCTGTATTATCAGATCAGGAACAAAGACTGTGTTCGGGACGAGGTTACATTCTGAACTGACTTAAAACTGTCTCAAACCAAGTCATAAATCACGTGCTTCACCAGTGTAAACTAGTTCACTGTACGTATAAATCACCAGCACTGCAGCGAAGCTTTCTGATTCATTTGAAACCAGGGACTTTGTCTTCATGAAGTGCCATTTATGATTTATGATTATGAAACCCATTCTCACACTGTATATATCTCCTCTTTAACCATTTCACAATGCTATTGTTTTAAAAGACTCACTTCTACAGATAATTATATTTATATATATATATATATATATATATATATTATACTAAATATAAATAATATCCTCCCAATATACACTGATACACAGAGGGAATCCAAAAGACAGCAATTAGGTTTTTAGACTCTTTATTAAGAGACTCATAATACAGATGGTCCTGTTATACTGTAATACACACACAAGTTCTTAAAATACATTCTACTGGCACGGTACTGAGGTCCAGAGAGGAAAAATATACAAACATTACAAGAGCACACAAGTTTACATCCTTAATGGGAAATACTTGTTACCATAGAACTACTCTAAACAGTATACTATATTTAATACCAGTGTTAGAAATTTTAAAAAAGGAGATGTTCTAACAAACATCAGATTTACTGGATACAAGACATGCTGAGTGGACAGATACTTTACTGTTTGCATGAAAGAAATTCAAAATCTGCTGAGCCCCACTTTCTCAATTATCACTTCTTCACACGTCATTTGTCCTCATTTGGTCCAACCACTAGGGGTCAGCACTAAGACCTTTTTTGGTCCTGGCCAGGCGGACTTCCTCCATCAGCTCTTTCAGGTACTCGATCTCCCTTGCCATGGATTCTGCCTTCTCAGTCAGCTCCATGTTCTTCCTCTCCAGCAGCGCATGCTCCTGAAGAAGTGATTCCTGCTCAGTTTTCTTCTTCTGCCTGTAACGTGTGGCGGCCGTCTTATTCTGCTCCATCTTCTTAAGCTTCTTGGCCTTTGGTGCCTTGAAACTCGTCCGTTCTTCTCCACCTGCGCCCCGGAGGGTTTTGACTTTGACACTGATGGCATTGGGAGAGGGTGGACTAGCTTTATATGTGGGCTCGGGGTATGGTCTGCTTCTGGACGATTTTGGGGCAGGGGAGGAATGCACCACCTCTGATGTGGCGGCGATTGAGACCTCCTCTTTGGGAGCCAGCACGAGGACGATGCGGGTCGGTGCGAGGTTGAGGACGAGCCTCTGGACCTGAGGGACGACAGGAATCACCACCGGCTTCACCTCACTCTCAGAGACGTCCACTTCACTGCCCAGGTCCAGGGTGTAGGCTGGGGAGGAGGGAGAATCAACCAAGGGGGAAGACGGGTCTGGAGATGTGGGCTCAGACTTGATTTCCAGCTCTTCTTGTGGCTCTGGGACGCACATGGGAGGGGAGGGGACACCCTGTTCATCAATGTAGGACTCGGGCTCATCCACTGTAATGACAGAAGGCTCGGCACAGACAGCGGGAAGAGGGGCGGGGGGAGGGGGAGACACACATGGAAGAGAAGCAGCGGGCAGACTCGGGAGCACAGACGTTGAGAGAGTGGGCACTGGGAGGGCGTCAAGCTCCATGGAGCAATCCAAGGAGGCTAGGAAGTCTTCTGGAGAGCCAGGGGACTCGTCAGTAGGACTGCAGGAGCCAATCAGACTCTCCAGGTCAAGCTCGCTCAGATCCACCCTCTCAGCCATCCAGTCCAGGTCACCGAACATATCCTCTGTGGAGGAAAGAGAGGCGTTAGATTAAGGAGATGATGGCCTTTCCTCTAATTTGGTGCTGAAAAACGTATAAATGAAAACTATTTTACACCACCATTACCTTTGCTGTCATCTGAGACGGTCTGTCTCAGCTGACCAGGATGGCCCAACCAGGGGAGGGAGAGCAGGTCAGACTCAGTCCCGACTTTGTCCCCCTGGAAGAGGACGGCCGGCGGTGAAGGAGGAGGAGAGTAGAAGGGAGGAGGAGAGGAGAAAGAAGACAGCGATGAGGAGGTGAGGGGAGACGCAGGTGAAGTGTCCCCCTCCAAAGAGGTTCCTCCTTCCTGTAGTTCTTCTTGGTCAGGGCGAACAGATAGGAGGTCCATGGCGTCAGCCATGGGAGAGGAAGGTCCCCAGAGAAGGACCTCCATGTCTTCCAGGCCAAACTGTGAGTTTGTCATCATCATGGTCATAATGGCCGTTGTTGGTCACAAAAGGAGTGTGCGACGATGCTAGGAAAGTCTCGAACTCTTTTATGCTGTCGAATGCAGCAGTGGTGAGGGTTTCCACGAAGGACCTGAGGGAGAGAAAAAGAAATTGGTGAAAATTTGAACATAAGTATTGTAGAAAATATGCTACAGTTCATACACCCCACTGACATATTTTATTATTTAGACTTTAAACTATGCTGTGTGCAAAGAAAAAGTGTGGGTAAATAACAACAGTGTTGTTCTGCTATAGAAATCTCTAAAAGCTAAATAACAGTGAGCGCAACACTGCCCCCTTCACTGCAGTGCACCTGCTGCACATCACGTGTTTCCACCCAGTCCTGTGACTCTGACGTCAGTCTGTCTCCAGACAGGGTCACGCACGGACTCCTCCGCCGCCCTCGCGCACTATAAACAGCCACTTTTGTTCTCAATCCGCCTACATGAAGGCGCCATTTTGACACAAAGAGGAAACGAACCATTTTCTGACTGCCACGTCGATAGTCCGGATAATAGTACTGAAGGTTTATACAAATGTAGTTACACCGTATTTATTATATTGATAGTAACTTAACATCGAGACACATTTCTGTCAAGTTTAACGTCGTTTCAGTAGCATATCCTGTATTTTATTCCACCAATAAATCACCGTATCTTATTATAATTCGGCGATTCAGATGATGTCAAATTAATTAGAAATGTAAAATCAAGTTTAATAAAGATATAGCTTTGTGCTCGCGGTCAAGTGAGGCTGCTGAGGCGCGCGGCCACTGTAGGCCGGACAGCTGTCATCGACCAAATATCATAAAAAAATAATACTTACGACATTTTTGCTGAATTAGAAGTGACTCAGTGCACTGGCTGGATGCACTGTTTTGTTGGCGGCTGGATCGCGGCACACTTTTACACTGCCATTTCGGCGAATAGAGCGATGTTCAACAATGCGGTCGCTTCGTTTGTTGTTCTTCAGGAAGGAAAATGGCGCACGCGGTGGCACGGCGTGCTGATATAGTGCAACAGGGAGTTCCGGAGGTATCCTTCCGCAGTGCCGACATTATCACTCCGCCAGTGTTTATGTGCCACATTCCTTGTCTAGTCTGTTGTCATCCTAAAAAGTAGTAACTGTTACTAGGCTAAATTAAAGCAAGGTTTTACATTAATACAGTACATTTTATTCATCACAATCATAAGTGGTACTACAATCTTGAACTACCTGAATACTGGCTTTAGTAAATTACACAAATCAGGTTTTAGAAATATAAAATGCTTATTAAAAGTGGATACTAAGGCATTTATTCTCCAGTTGCACCAACAAAAACCTTTCAAAACATATCTCACACACACTCTGGGACATGAACCAACGACAAGTTCTTTACTTCAAGTAAACTTTTCCCACATATGATTCAGGTGATCAAGGTCATCCTGCAGATTTTCAGCCAGCAGGCGAACTCTGCCTGCAAACCTAATCTTACTCGACTTCTTCAGCTTCTGACCCTGCTTTTCTTTGAAATACTGATCCATTTCCTTAACAAAAGCCTGAAGCAGTCTCTCAGATGACATTACACCTGTGTGTGAAACCGAACCCTTCCTTTCATCGTCAGTCACAGACTTGGACAGTTGTGCCATCGTCAGTGCATCTTGATGAGCTCCTGCCCTCTGTAACCTGGCAATGTCGTGCCTTCGGAGCTCAGTCATCCCAGAGAGGATAAATTCCAGACATTGTTCCAGGTCAACAATATTATCCTTATATTCGTACACTAGTTTCTCAACTGACATCTTATTCACAAGCTTTTTCTTGTTGGCCTTAGCAGCGTGGACGCCCATGCCCCCAGCGGACGCCACCATACCAGCACCAACAGCAGTAGCAATCAGCGATGTTCCCATGGTCACGGGGGCCAAGGCAATGCCCAGAATTGCAGTCACCCCTCCCACAGCACCTGTGGTCCCTCCAGCAATGCCCATAGTTTTGTTATCCTTTTCCATCTTGTCCAGGCTTTGGTAGATGGAGGTAAACTCTGCGATGATGTCCCGCAGTCTTTTATTGCGTTTCATCATGAGGAAGTTGTAGAGACGCAGGGCCTTTCTCACAGTCATCGCTCTGTCATTAAATGATCTGCACAGAGACAGCGACAGAAAAGTCTTAACAAAAATCAGCACATGTAGTTCAGTTTGATATCAGTTCTGAAATAGTTTAACTTCCACTGTCACATTTAATTTGTCTTACAAAAGGCCAGCACTGTTTCCTGTATTTATTTTTTACAAATATTGTAGGACAAAACTGCTGGCACCAGAATGACATCCCCAAGAACAAATTCATAAAGTAGTTGTTTCCCTGTGGTTACCTGATTTCTTCTTCTATACTGAGGCCATACAGTGACGGAGCCATGAAATCCGATTCTGTTGGTATGACAACACAGAGACAGATTAAATACTGATCATGCCTTTTGTTACGGAAGACACTGGTGTTTTTGTGCATCTTTGTTACTGATTTTATTTATTGTACGTCTTTAAAACTGTATAAGAATAAAAATTAAAGAATGACAATGAAATTGATACAATATAGAAAACAAACATTGTGCTTACTTGACACTCTTTTCAACCATCTCAGCATGCCATTGATGTCCTGAGGAAAACAGGTCATTTTCTTGTCAATAACCATTGCAGAGAGACAATAGATTTTATTCACAAAACCTCTTTAAACTATAAATAAAATAAAATTAAATCATTTTATTTATCCAGGAGGGGAGCATGTGAACTAAGCCTTACGTCCGGTTTGGTCTGTTGATGAGAAGAGAAGCAGTCACTCTGGTGTCCGGAAGTAAGTGTTGACCTCCCTAGTGACTGGTAGTGTTTTACCAGAAACAGATTAATGTATGAGAAATAAATTGATGTAGACCATTGTTTAAATCTAGATAGATATAATCTGCTCAGTATTAGAGAGTACAGACATACACACAGTCTCACCATACTATCTCCATCCTCTGGCAGAATGGATAAGTAGGGACGATAGTCTATTTCACTGTACAACGACTCTGATGGTGTCCATATTGAAGGAGGGGGTGGTGGTTTGAATGGAGGTGGTGGTGGTTTGGTCTGTAATAGACAGAGGAATGGTAAATATGGTAAACATTATACTTGCTAAATATCAGCATATCTTAAACCACCACTGCGCCTAAGTAGCTAATCCAGACTGCTAATCTGAGTGAGTGAGAAATTAGTCTAAAATAAATGGGTTAGGGTTAAAAACACATGGATGGTACGGATTTCCCAGATTTAAGCTTTGTTTTGGCACCTGTCCAAGGACAGTTCATCACCTATAGCTTTGTTGTCTACTGTGCAGTAGCTCTCATACCTGTGAAGGCGAGATTTCATACTCTGAGGCAGAGCGTGGAAGGGAGGGCCGCCGGTGTCGAGGAGGGACTGCAGGTTTGTCTGTACTGTACTGTACTGTATTTTGTCTGGATTGCTGACTCTGATCAGTGTAGATCTGTCCAGGAAAATATTAACAAGATAGAAATGGGTCAATATATTACATATTTAAACAGGACAAAGTGAGTGTAACTCCTCTCAATGTGTTAATTTTTCTGAAATATTGGGATGAGGTGAGAAAGTACAACAATCAAAACTCCTTGTTTTGAGGGAAACATATTTGCCCCCCAGCACCTCTGAATCTCACTAATTAACATTTTACATCTGGTTTATTTAATCTGTTCCAAACAAAGTGTAAAAATTACCATTTGCAGTTTTCTGAAAACTAATAAGCATTTTTTCCCAAATTGTCAAATGATTCTTTTGGTTTCTTGGTAATAACACACATGAAGTAATATTTTATATATATATTATATACCTTCACAGCTGGCTCAGTGTTTAAATTCACACAGCGACTCCCTCCCTCGACTGCTGCTGTGGGTTTACTGGAGGTCAGGTGTTTGCTCGTTGGCGGTCTGGGAGGAGGACGAACAGGTTGAGGCCTCTTATAGTCTGCAGGGTATGGACTGAGTTGGGATTTCTAAAAACAGAGGAACAGAAAAACATTTACATGTAGGCCTATACTAATTAATACATGCAAATATGCAATTATGAGTTAATATAATCAAGTCAAAACAGCTCAACTTGCCACTGCACTGTTTGTGTGGCTGGTCGTCTCTACAGAGTTTGGACACTTTGGTTGCCATTTAGACCTGGGAGATGGTACAGGCTTGACTTTAACCTCTGACTGGCTTCCACTTGTGTCAGCAGGCTGACAAAGAAAGAGAATAAAAAAAAAAAACAAAGACAAAACCCCATAAATAATAAAGTGCAAGTCCTAAGATTTCTATTTCACTCTGAATGTCTCCAGTTCCTCTAAAGATGGAACGAGGTAAGAACTGCAATTACCAGCAGACAAAAATCAATTTTTACCTTTGGTGCATCCGGGTCCTCGTAGACAGACTCCGAGACATCACAGGAGCTGGTGACGGTGGACTTCATCATGTAGCTCTTCCTGAGGGGTTTCGGTGTCTATGGGGTTTAATAATGACAGAAAGTAACTCTCTAATATTAGAACTATTACCAACAAACACTGCCAAACAACCAAGTGCCTTGTGTCTCTATGTTTCCTTATTCTTGTATATGTTGCATAAATACATGTTACCAGTAATGTTACTGTCTGTTCCTGTTTATCTACCAGGAAAGCTTCAGTTTTTTTCCAAAATTGTCAGTTTAGTTCCTGTAACACTCTTATCTCCAGACATGAATGCAGGTGTGGAGCAAGGTGGTGTGTACACAGTAATCTTATGTAACTCAAACACATCTGACTAAATAATTACCACACATATCTTTAATTTAAAGTATGGGTTTTGAAGTCTGGTTGTGCTAACCAGCAGTTGTAACCGTGACTAATTCTTCTGTACTGGTTCCTCGGAGCAAAAAAGAGGAGCCTAATTAACCCCCTGTCACATGGTATTCCCATGCCTGACCCCATGTTTACTTAATTTTGGAATATGCAACATTTGAGCATAAAAGTGAAAAATCTTAAAACTGGATATTGACCTCTTCAAGACAGGGCCTAAAGATTAGAAAGTACAGCAGAGTCTGCCTAAAGGACTTCCTCATGTCAGTCTTTTTTTTATTAATTGAGCACGGCCGGGGCTTTCAGGGCCCACTTTGTCCAGTTAGTAATCCAGTCTTGGATACATTTAGCAGGAGACCAGTGTTAAAGATTTGTGAATGATGGACAAGTTTTTGCTGTTTGTCAAAAAAAAACAAAAAAACAAGCCAATCAGGCATTTTTAACAGAGGCCATTCTGACCATTCTGAAGAAAACACAGGTGTAAAAAATACCATAATTAAGTACATTTACTCAAGTACTACACTTCAGTACAAATTATACGTACTTGTACTTTACTTTTATTTTAATGCCACTTTCTACTTCTACTCCACCACATTTATTTGGCCGCTTTAATTTCTATTATTATCATTATACCATATTATTATACAAGTAGAGCTGAAACACTTAGTCAATCAATCAATTACTTGATTAACACAAAATTAATTGAAAACTATTCGTAATTAATGAAAACATTTTGTGGTTCCAGCTTCACATATGTGAGGATGTACTGCTTTTCCATTGAATTATTTTATAATTTATTTATTAGGATTTTTTAATAACTTTGAGGTTTGGACAAAACAAGCCATAAAGGCGTGATGGTGACACTTTAAGTGTGTGTAAGTGTGACGGTTTTACAGGTTATAAATTATAAAAACCAAAAAATAAATTGATTCATGAAAAAAATAATCAGCAGATCAATCTGTCATGACAATAATGATTAGCTGCAGTCCTATACAAAATAGTTTACAGTGGTATTAGTACTTTTACATAGTAGTTGAAGTAAAGAATCGGAATAGCCTTCCTCTACCACTGGCTTAACGTTTTAGTGACACCTGTGCTAATAACAAGTCAGAAAGTTCTGTTTTCAACCAAAGGAAAAAACACGATCACAATGAGACATTTGAGCGAGAAAACTGAGCTGAGACCAGCATTGTTTACAAGAACAGGTTTAGTCAACCTGACGCATGCAGCACTAGTAGATCCACCTGCAGTGTAATTAGGAGTGATAATGTGCGTAATAAGTGCTTTTCTGATAGGGTTGGTTCTGTAGCACTATAGTGACACATTTTTAAAGCATTTTAAGTACACCTTAATGCATTGTTGTATTCACTTGTTTATGTCAATGGTTTGTTTTGCTCTGATGGTACAAAGTTGCTGCTGTTTAAGATCACCAATCACTGCTTGGGCCAGAATCTTACCAGCTAATTGTTACTTAATAATATACAGAGCTTCAGATATAATATCCAACAGACCTTTTTCCCAGCAGCTACATATAAACATAAGAAAAAGCTGATTCTTAACATCATGGTCCAATTTAGAAGTAGCTCTCACTATTCCATTTGAGCCTTTAATTATGGATCTGTTACCTTTCAACAGAGCCACACTAGCTGTTTCCCCATTCCCAGTCTAGCTAAGCTAAGCTAATCAGCTGCTGGGTGTAGCTTTATATTTGCCACACAATTTTGGTGTCAATCTTCTCATGTAATTCTCTGTGTGATTATTATAAGGGAATAAGTATTTCCCAAAATGTTTAAAGGAACATTGCAGAAATGTTACACATAAGATAATAATAAACTTAGTGATACTAATTAAGGTTCAGCGCTAGTCAAACAGAGTCAGGGTGCTATTTTACATGTTGTGCTCACTAGATAGGCTCTGCTACACTAAATGGAACCTTAATTGGCATCATTGATAACACCTGTGTTTACCCTACTATTTCACATCAAATTGCTGCTGTGAAAAAGGTCTCTTTGTTAAAGTCATCTATTAGGTGAATTGGTGGTACGTGTGTATCATTTAGACCCAGCTCTTTTCTAAAACATATTTGACTCTTTATAAACATAAGAAAGAGCTGATTCTTACCATCATGGTCCAGTTTCGAAGTCGTTCTCACTATTCCATTTGAGCTTTTAATTATAAATCCAGTATGAGGAATGGTTCAGCTTGTCTGCCATGCATTTACACGCATGCACCGTTTGTCAAGCCACGGATGCCATGAATGCCTGTCGTCCGGTCTAAAAAGACCTAATGGTGTGATTTCCATCCCGCGTCACAACAGAGAAAAAAAAACTGTGGGTGGATCCCCTTTTTGCAAAACTTCAGCATATAGGACAAGCAATGAGTGGAATGAAAGCCGAACATCTGCACTGTCACTCCGACATCAACTGGCACACAAGTTTGACAGCCAGAGGACACTGTACTCACATTGATTGCCTGGAGACTAAACCTAGCCTTAACCAGAACCACTGCATGCCAAAACCCAGCCTTAACTCAAAACTAACCCTAACCTTAATCAAAACCCAAGTCTTAACCCTGAGGTTTCTTAGTTTACCTTATGGGGACCAGTGTTGCGTCGTCTGCTGGAGATTTTATCTGAAACTCGTTCAACAGGCCAAGTGAAGTCTTATCCACGACTGCTTTCACGCTTTGTTTTGGATGAATGACAGAAACAGCAGCTTGTTGGATGACTCATCTTACTTTGGTTTGGATTTGAAACTTTTCTTTTATCAGAATCAGAGTCAGAATTATGTTTATTGCCAAGTAGGCTAGGTTTTTACACCTACGAGGAAT